ATTCTCCATACAGGAGGTCCTTTGGAATCCGACCATCAGCCATTCTCACGACGTGCCCAAGCCAACGTAGACGTCGCTGTTTCAGTAGTGTATTCATGCTGAAAATTCCAGCTCGTTCTAGGACTACTCTGTTTGGGACTTTGTCCTGCCAGGTGATGCCAAAAATCCGTCGGAGGCGACGCATATGGAACGTGTTCAGCTTCCTCTCCTGCCGTGCACAAAGGGTCCAGGACTCGCTGCAGTACAGGAGTGTGCTTAGGACACAGGCTCTATAGACTTGGATCTTTGTATGTGTCGTCAGCTTCTTATTGAGCCATACTCTCTTTGTGAGTCTAGAGAACATGGTGGCTGCTTTGCCAATGCGTTTATCCAGCTCGACATCCAGAGAGAGGGTGTCAGGGATGGTTGAGCCAAGGTACACAAAGTCATGAACAACCTCCAATTCTTGTGTAGAGATGGTAATGGAAGGAGGTGAGTCCACGCCCTGGCCCAAGACTTGTGTTTTCTTCAGGCTGATTGTTAGTCCAAAGTCTTGGCAGGCCTTGCTGAAATGATTCATGAGTTGTTGGAGGTCTTCAGCAGAGTGGGCAACGATGGCTGCATCATCTGCGAAGAGGAAGTCCCGCATGCATTTCAGTTGGACTTTGGTCTTCGCTCTCAATCTAGAGAGATTAAAGAGCTTTCCGTAATAGTATGAATGTGGCTGTAGTCTGCCTTTCTGGAAGGGAAATAGCTGTACTACAAAAGAATTGCTTTGTTGCCATTTTCCCCCTGTAAAATTAAAATGAATGTGTCCTGCATTGCTTAAAGCTAAGGATGGAAATCTTCAATTTTGCACACGAAAATGAAAAAAATTCTTGTTTTCTGCTTGCTGGAATAAAATTACAAGAGGTGTTATACATCCTTTGCATTTCAGGGCTCTTTTGAGAAAACTTCATAGAAGTAGGTTTTGCAGAAAAAGGTGTTTTGTGCAAAATACAAGATTTTTGTGTAAAATTCAAGGCTCATTGTTAATACTCTGCTCTTAAAAATGGTATTGGTCTGTACATTCTTGTGCAGGAATGAAAAAAATTGAGAGCAGTTGACTGGTTTTTTTTAAAAAAAATTGGATCTCTCAAATTACAGCTACATAGTCAAATATTATAGGATTTGCTCTGTATATAAAATGGGTTAATTTGAAGTATTTTTACTTGACTGCATGATGCAAAGACAGATTCAAATTGATCCTCTTTGCTCCCAAAGTGGCTTTCTTTCTCTGCTGCTCAGAGACTTCTACTTTTTCAAGCCATAATGATTCAAACTGGCTTTTTCCCCGTGTGATTAGTTGTGATACATTCTTGTAAAGATAGTGGGGTTCTGTAGGAGTCCTGATGATTTAGGCAATTACAGTGTGGTTTCCACCTTTGCCGAGCCTTGTATGGTTTACAGTGAAGCTGCTTTCTTAATCTGAAGCTGCTGAATAGATTCTTCAAAAACGTTTGTATAGAAAATTAACATGGAAAGGTACTTAACAGTCTCATAGAACATCAAAAGTTTGAACAGTAATTTTGCAGAATATATAATAATTAACATATTGGAATAATGCCATAACTGGGATCACCACCACCTTTAACCTCTCATCCATTACTCTTTTCCCTTACTTTCAAGTAATGTGTGGAGGAATTACCTCATCTCTTATCATATAAGGTTTTCCCAAGCTCTGTCTTCTCTTAGGTTCAAACTAGTTTGAAACTTGTTTTGAGTCAGCCTTTTGCCTTGAAGCTAGAAAATGTCCACATATTTGTTACATCATAGTGGAGAGGACAGAGGAAGCACATTCAACCTTAAAGTGTTAAAAAAAAGTAGCAAAGCAGAAAAATATGCATATTGCTTTGTAAAAAACTTTGTAAAACTTAAAAGTAGATGAGCTTTCCTACTGAAGTGACATTGCAGAAAGGTCTCTGCTATTAACAAGCAAGAAAAATCTTGTTTTAAAAACTCCTTTCAAGTTGCAAGGATATGTAAAGAAAGATTAATTGCCTCGCTAGTTACCAGTAACTTCATGGCAATGATCTATTACGGTAGACCGAGTAGCTAGTAAGTGCTAGTTGGAATTAGTGTTCTACCAGCAACAAAATAACAGGTTACCCACAGGAGGCCATTCTGGCCCCATTTTTTCTGTCCTTCCAGAAGCAGGCAAAGACATTTCTCTTCAGGCAAGCGTTCCCTTAGTAATTTGCTACATGTATCTTTAATATTGCCTTTTAATGATGTAAGATGCCTCCTTATACTCATTGTTCTTAGCTTTAAATATTGTCTTGTAATCATGTTAATCACCATTGTATACTCATTATTTTCAACTTCAAATACTGTCTTTCAATGTTGTAAGCTGTCTTGCATCATTTTCAAGGAGAAAGGCAGGGTAAAATATTTTAAATGAACAGACAGACATGGTTGCTGAGCCCTCCCCAAAAGTGATTACTTCATTACTTACTTCACAACTATTAACTGATTTCCATTTATTCTGACGACATTTCTGCACAATACTTTCAGAAAGAATTGTATACTGCATTTCTATAAAACTAGAATAGCATGAGAGTAATAAATTAAATTCATGTTGTCAACAATTGCTTTTTTCCCTAAATGTGGGAAAAAAGGAGACTGTTGTGTTATTTGGTCCCATCATGTTAACTCGCTTTTGAATACTTTTTTTAAAAAAAACTTGAAAAGTTATTTCCATCTCCAGAACAGTGGTTCCCAGCTTTGAGTCCCCAGATGTTCTTGGATTACAAATCCCAGAAGCCTTCACAACTAGCTATGATGGCCAGGATTTCTGGAAGTTGTAGTCGAAGAATATCTGGGGACCCAAGGTTGGGAACTACTGCCTTACAGGAAGTTGTGGTCAAAATCTATTGAAGTGGAAATGCTTTGTCAACATAATTCCTCTCCTTAGTCTGTGCATCACCAAAACCTTCTCCGGAGGGCTGTGAAACTCTCCAGTGTATGTTTTGCAGTGAGTCAGAGAACTAGGGGCTGGAGTTGTGTTGTGTCTGCTAGCTCAATGCTACTCCTATGTGTTTGTTTAATACATTATTTTTAACTGAAAAAACACATTGTCAAACCTTAGTATCATATCGCTTTTGATAAAATTTATTTGTAAAGGAGAACTGTGTTGTAATATAGGAAAGAAAAGGTGGGTCTGAACATGTTACAGTGGTGCCTCGACTTGAGAACTTAATCTGTTCCAGAATGGTGTTCGTAGGTCGAAATGCTCGTAAGTTGAAGCACCATTTCCCATTGAAATGCATGAGAATGGGATTAATTCGTTCCAGCATTTCAAAAAAAAAAAAAGCACAAAGAAAGCCCATCTGAAGGCGCTGGGGCTTTAAAAAATATTTTTAAAAAATATTTTAAAAAACAACCAAAAATAAACAGCAAGCCCCGAAGGCTACGAAAAAATCAAAAAGAAACAACACAGCACAGAAACATAACCCCCCTCAGCTGAAACCCACCCTGAAAACCCACCCAGAAGTTTCTAAAAAGCAAAAATCAGCACCTTACCAGGCAGACTGAAGCCTCTCCAATGGCACTCACTCCCCAGCGGATGGCGACAGGTGGCATAGGGCAGCCGAGGTGATGGGGCACTTACTCATGAGTAGACCTGCACCAGGGATGGGCAGGGAGCGCACCGGCTTCCTGTGCCCGGCAGCAAATTGGAGCCAGCCCACCTCTCCTTCCTCCTCCTGCACCGCCACCACACACCCCATCCATGGAGGAGCCCTCTGACCCATGGGCTCCAGCCCAGGGCCTTTGATGGGCCTTACTCATGAGTAAACTTATGCCAGGGATGGGCAGGGAGCGCACCGGCTTCCTGCGCCCGGTGGCAAAGCGGATCCGCCCCGCCTCTCCTTCCTCCTCCTGCACTGCAGGAGTAAAAAAGTTCCTTGACCCCCTTCTCCAACCGTTGGGGTGAAAGAGCTACAAAGAAGCAGCTTCTTCGCCACCAACGGTTTGAATTTCACACCTGTTTCGCCTGCCTTTTTCTGTTCTTATGTCGAAGCTACGCCCGCAAGTTGAAGCAAAATTTTGCGAGCGGAGCGGTTTGTAAGTCAAAATGTTCATAGGTGGGGTGTTCGTGAGTCGAGGCACCACTGTAGTTGTGGTACCTTTTGCTTGCTTGTTTCTGATAACTTACACGTTGTTTAGCTTCTCCATGTGGCAATGATTTCTATTAAAATTAGAATCCCTTTATTATAGCAAAAAGCAATTTTCTATAACCAGAAATGAATAAGATTTCATTCCTTGCTGGCAGAACAAGTAACTTGTATTGCAGAAGACTGCAGTCTGCCATCACCATTTAAAAGATGGGTGGAGAAACTGTGGGACAAGAGCCCCACTGGGCCCATGCCTTAATTTGGGGGGATGTTTGGCATCATCCAGCACTCTAGATGTTTTGAGTTGATTCTTTTTCTCAGGATTACAATGCTGGGAATCCTCTCTCTGTGGGAAACCTGATAATTGGCTGTTGAAATGCTACTTTATAGTCATATATGTTAGTTTTTTATACCTGTTGCCATCTTGGTTCATTGTAGGGATTATTTATTGTTTTTTTGTGAGTTGGGTTGAATTGTTCAACTTGTGTGAATTGCCCAGAGTAATGGCTTGCCAGTAGACGGGCAGTTTATAAATATAACTAATCAATAAATAAAAATAAATAAATTCTACAAACTGTATGTAAGAGCGTGATGGAATGGGTGGACTTTAAAAGAATTGGTAACTCGCCAAGAGCTATATTGCACCCATTTCTGGTTGATTCGCCCTTTTGATTTTTCATACGGATCAATAGCTCTTCACTGTCAAAATATTACAGACACCTGACTTAAATTTCAAATTTTCAAATATATCAAAGCAGTTGAAACTGGTATTTATTGTGGCATTTGTAAGTCATTTGGATACAATGGATGTAGTTAGCTGAGCATAATACAAAATGTTAACAATTTTCACCATATATACTTTACTAGGGCCACCAAGATGGATCTTAAGGGTGCTTTGGAAGAGTGTTCAATGGCACTGAATCTATTTCTGAACAACAAATTCTCAGAAGCTCTGGAATTACTTCGTCCTTGGTGAGGTATTTTGCTTGCCAGAAGCAATATGGGAAGACATGCCATCTGGTTGCAGGAGATTAATTTAAGGCCTCTGAATACAGTAGCTTTCATTACTTCTCTTCTGTTTCCTTTCCAAAAGCAAGTGTTCTGGAGTTATTTCTTTAAACCTTCTAAAGTGGCCTGTATTTTTTGTCATTCAAAATATGTGACTGTTTTACAGGTTCAGGTTAGACCTCAGGTTTCAAGGTCTTATCTGAATCATTGGCTGAAATCCAGTTACACAGCTATGCGTGTGTAACATGAAGTGTTTAGAAGTGGTGGGAAGAATTGTGATAGTGAGGAAGTGCTGTATTCAAAAATCACATCCACATGCGTGTTTTTCACAGTTGCAACAAGAACCCCTGGACCGACTAAGGAATCAAATTATGCAGGGTGGGTGCCTGGGTGTAATACCTGGCATACTTACATAAGAGTAGCTGTACGTTATGCCAAAATGAACAAGATTTCAGCCAGCATCTGAGCACCTTGATCTCAAAGAATATTAATATATTTTGTATGTTACATAGTTAAATCATTCTTTCAAGATAAAATTGGCTTCCACAATTATATAGAACTACAACAGTTATATGGCATTTAAGAAAAGCATATAATGGGGGGGGGGTTGTGTGGAATGACCACCAGCCTCCATAGCATGTATGCCAGCTTCCATAGTATTTACATAGCATGTGCTATACTTTTGTGAAATGTGTAATTATGCATTCAAAGAACATATTTTAAGATGAGTTGGAATTTCTGTCAAATGATTATTTGTTTCTCTCTCACAACAGGTCTAAAGGCAGTATGTACCATGCCTTAGGATATAGCACTATTTTAGTTATGCAAGCTGCAATGACCTTTGAGCAACAAGATATCCAAATGGGAATTGCTACCATGAAAGAAGCATTACAAACTTGCCAAAAGTAAGCATACTTTTTAAAATTTATTGCTTTATTAAATGTCTTAGGGTTCTGTATGCTCACATGATGATTTGAGTTGCTGCTAAACAAAGATGTAGGAAATGCTAACAGAAAATGTATAGGAAAGCCACTTATTTCACTTTTGGTATGCAGTCATCTATTATCTTCACTTATTTGATAGGTAAGCATAGTTGTGGGGTGAGGCACACGATTTGTTTGGTGCATGAGTCACACCTGTATGGATTTGCCACACCTGCAAGCACATTTCATTGTTTCTTAATCTTCCTTTGTAAATTCTTTACCTATGCATGTGAGGGAAGCTTTCCCTCAGTGATTGGCTATCTGAGTGTGATTTTTAGATGGATTGTTATGCATTACTTCTTTGACTAGATTTTTAGTACTTCTTGTGTTTACCATTACTCAGTGGTATTTGTTCAATTTCAATATTTGTATACTTATTGTTTTTAGCTTTAATATTGTCTTTTAATTATATAAATTACCATTGTATACTCATTGTTTTCAACTGTAAATATTGTCTTTCAATAATGTAAGCTGCCTGGGGTCCTTTTTAAGGAGAAAGGCAAGATAACTATATTTTAAATAAATTAAATAAATAACTATCTCTTGCTTCTTCTCCCTCATTCATAGTTAAGTATCATTTTAGGCATGATTTTACCTTTATTACTAAATATCAAAGAACTATTACTATACAGCAGTAGTAGCTGTTATTGATTTTGTAACATGCCTATTAATGGTATGCTCTTTGGACCTAAGTTCCCAGGATTCTGCAAGAACTTCAGGCATTCTAGTCCAAACACCTGTACATCCCCCCTCCCCACAGGGGGAGGACTTCCATGTGATTTCGCCTCCACCATTGGTTTCTCTGGCCATTCTTTTTCCTGTTGTTGGTTTGCTGTAGTTGTTTTAAGAGGAAGCTAGTGCAGTGATTATTGTAGTCTTGCTGTTCATTATAGAGGGTGCCTCCCAAAGAACTATAACTCCCAGGAAGGACCATGGCAGCTTCCCCCCCCTTTTTTTTTTAACCAAGACAACAGCAGGAAACAAGAAGGCTAGAGGAACCAATGAGAAAAATAAATCACAAGAAAGCCCTTTTGTGAGAGGTGAAATCTACAGGTATGGTAATCTGAGTTCTGAGCTGCAATTCCCAGAATTCTTGGAGATCACCATTGATGTTCCTAATTTTGTTTTAGATGTTCTTGTATAATTCTTTGTGTTTCATGTCTTTATTTCTCCATTTTTTCTTTCAGTACTTTTGATTAATTGGAATATAATTTGTTCAGTTCCTTAGAATATTACTGTTACTACCATTTTAGCAGTATTTCCGTGTGTATAGTCTCCTTTGTTCTCTTAACAAAGCTCTATTAGTCTTTGCCCTGCTTCATTTTGAAAATGAAGCAGGGCAAAGACTAATAGAGTTTTCTCAAGAGAACAAGCTGGTCATCACAAACACTCTTTTCCAACAACACAAGAGGCGACTCTACACATGGAAATCACCAGATGGGCAATATCGAAATCAGATTGATTATATTCTCTGCAGCCAAAGATGGAAAAGCTTTATACAGTCAGCAAAAACAAGACCTGGAGCT